AAGTAAAAAAAATTGAAAAAAAAATACAGAGGCGTGCCGTAAGGTTTATAATGTCAAAACATAGGTACCTGGACTCAGCGACCCTCAAATAAAATTGCCCGAGCTTTCATTGCGACGAAAGGTGGCTAGATTGAAATTCATACACTTAATGAAACACAACTGCTTTAACTTCAACCCATACAGATTCATAAAAAACAGAACGTCACGTATTTCACGGGTTGTTAGATCTAGCCATTAGGACCAGTTAGTGCCTATCCCTACAAAGGTTGATACCTTTAAATATTCCCTCTTCCCAAAAACGATTGAAGAATGGAACGCACTACCCCATAGCATAACTCAAATTAATTCTACAGAAGAATTTGAAAAGACGAGAATGGCATATTACTCCTCTAGGTAACCATATCTAGGCGTTGTTACCTCATCTCTTCTACCTGGAGATGTTACCCTTTTTGTATATTTTTCTATAACTGTACGTTACGTTGGTAGGAAAAGTTCCTATGACGCTGAAGTTCGTGATGTATATGATATAGCCTTCGTCAAGTGTGTTGTTTGAAGTTATGCTACCATGCCAATCGTTGGTCACTACTGTGTAAACCTTAATTAACTTACCTGTTGGATTGGTCCTCTGTTAAAAACTACCTGTTGTGTTGTCTTCCTTGATTTCATTTTGTAGTGCTTGTGTCAACAAGTGAAGTGTATTTCTTTACCCCACCCTGTAACGGCCTTTGGCTAACAGTATAAAGAAATAAATAAGTAAACAAATAAATAAATAAGTTTCAAGCACCCGCGTGGCTCTGTGGTAGAACACCAGGCAGGCAGGCCCCCTGGGTACCTGGGTTCGAATCTCGTTGTGTTTTTCATCTACTTAGTTTTCCTTTTATTATTTTGCGCCATAGTTTTTAAGGACACCGGCGGCGACGGCAGCAGTGGCCACAGCATGGGCGGCGGGAAACTATCTATACGTTGTACGTGACCCTGGTTGGGATCTCATAATAGATTTCACTGTAAAAAGCATTCTGCCATTATGATGAAGAGCACGCCATCTTGCAAGAGAGTCTGCGTTCTGCAAAAGCAAGAATCTGCTTCAACCATGCATGCAAGCTAGCAGAGTCTGTTTCGCACGAATGTGCAATTCACGAATGTGCAAAGCAGCAGTTCAGTGCTGTGCCTTCGCAGTCTACAAAGCAGACGGCACTGCACAAAGAGCACACGCCCGCAGACGACGCCGTCTTCTGTGTACTTTTCTCGCTTTTTTTCCAGCCTGCAGTGTCATTGCTGCGCGAGTAATTTGGCTCGGCGCAGTGCCTGCTGGAGCCACCCGCCATTAAGGCTATCCCGTATTTACTTTTGATTACACGCCAAGTTGAGCCACGTTCTTTGAAGATGTGACTCCACCTCACCGCATCCTTGCACTGATAGTCTCGTCAATGTAATAATTTGCGCCGAAAGCCGACGTCAGCAAGAAGAAAGGGTCAGGAATCACAGTTTCTATCTTCCGTCGCGATGACTTTAGGGGTTCCTCCTCTTCTGTCTGCGCCGCGTCTTCTCCCGGGCCTCCTTTGTTCTCTCATTAACGCTCGCTGCGAGCAAGCCAGCCAGTCTGACTTCGAAGTAGCGGACCCGAACGTCGTCTTGGCGCTCCACCAACGTTGGGTTGTGATGAAAAAGTTTCATTTCTTCTTGCCTTCTTTTTTTTTGTATGCCTTGCGTTAGAATCTACGATGCGTTGCGCCAGCCGTTGTCAGCTCTGCGATGCCAGAAACCCCCTCCTGTATTGCGCACAGCGGTGACGCGCCTCATGACGCGGGCGCTCCTTCTGGGCCCCGGCAGCGGTGCACGCGCCGACGGTTCTTTTTTCTCTCTCGGGCAAATGATGCGCGGCCTCCTTTTGATACTCGTTCGTTACGGCGTCGCCCTGTGGGTGCCTTCCGGACGCGTGCGTCGTAGGTGTTCCGCGTGTGCGGTGTGGTGTCGTGAGATAGACACGTGGCTTGGCGGCGTGTACGTCACATGTGCGCCTGACCAAGCAGCTCGCGCTATAGGGGTGGCCGCCTGGTCATAATTTTACTCGCTTCCCCAAGTCACAATTCGATGCTTTCGTGATTACTTGTTGAGAATTTCGTGGAGGTTGGCTGTAATTATATACAGTCAATCACTCGCCAGTTATCGATGACGACCTCCTAGATGACTGGTTAATGTAAGCCTTCTTTGTCGCAGCGAAAAAAAAATAAGTCTGCAAACTCAGTTTTGCATCCGTATATAGTAGCGGCTGCAGTTACTACCTCTTCCATTCCAGTTACTAACTGTTTACTGACGTAGGTAGTAAACAGGTTGCAAAAGTTCTGTAACGGTTGCAGCTAGTAACTGTTTACTAACGTAGATAGTAAACAGGTAGCAAAAAGGGTAGTAATGGTCCACGAAAGGTAGTAACCGCTGCAGTTACTACCTTTTTGCTTGCAGTTGCTATCTTTTCACAAACTTTTTTTAAAAGACTGTACGAGCTATGATGTTCAGCCGAAATTCGAGAGATCAGTTGATGATGTTTCTCTCGAAGATGAAGGCGGCGATGATCTTCGCTCGACATCACCGTGTGTCATTCTTCCAACCCACCATCGAGCGAAGCAGAGTGCGACCCTAATACGTATCCGAGCAGCTTTCTTTGGTGCGCTAGTGTGTAACAGTGGGCTGGCTTGCTAGTACTACTTGAATTCGGCCTTACCTATTTTTCTTTAATGCATGGTAGATATATAGTCCTCTATCACGTCTTCCTAATGGCAAATACGTCGTGCAATAAATGAGTGTTTGCCGAAATGACGCCCAACATAGATGTGAGTTCCAGCATTGCACGCACAGAGCGTATGCGCGTCCTATTCGCATGCCGCCATCTTTTATACAGGAAAGCCCGGAATGTGTAGCTGTGGTTATGTTCGGTGTACTCACCGTGACCACGCACATTTACGTGAACCTTGCTTTACCTTATGAGACAGATACGTGTGCAGGCGATGCTTGAGCGAAGGAGTGCATGCAGGGTCGAGGCAGAGTGAACCCGGAACGGGCAAGCAATCCGCAGCGTCGAACGTTTGGTGCGCAGCAAGAGAAGTGGCCGCTACGCTCGCAGTGCCAATGAGACTCCTCGAGGCCAACAAGCCGTGCTGTGTTGTGGAAAACCTCGGGGAAAAGCAGTGCCTTCCGCAAAACTTTTTGCGAGTGTGTTCATCCTCACGATGGGGGGGGGGGGGGGGGGGGGGGGGGGCAAATTTAGCACTGGCAGTCTCCCTTTCAGGGCTGTGGCATGGTGCAAGCGAGATAGGTTGATCCTGTGTAACATTCGAAATTTAACGGCAATCCTGGCGGCCACCAAGGACAGTTAACCAACCTATGTAGCTTATTGCTGCTGCATAGAAAAAAAAAGCTTTGAAATACCAAGAGGGGGGGGGGCAGGCCACCCCAGCTTTTTTTGCATCCCCCTCCGGATACCTACACCTACGTGGAAAAGGCACTTGCCCGGCAAAGAGTCGAATACGCCATATTGTGCTAAGCAGTGGGAAAATGCTGTGGCATGGGGGGTAGAAAAAGTGACGCTGATTTTAATCTGATAAAGGTATCTAATAAAGCTCCAGTTTTGTTAAGGCACTATTGGGGCAGCAGTTTGTTACTCATAATACGTAACTTTTTGAAATAATTTTGAACACCTAAATCGTCGTCGGCGCACTCGATGTTCCAGGCACGTAGTTCAGTCCTTGCATCGTTCAGAATACAATAGAAATCATGGACAACAAATAAATAAACAGAGTCCGACAAGATACTGTAAAAATCCATTTTATCACTGTTTGGCAAGTAGCACTCGTTCTCTCTAGATCTTGTACACAGCATTTCCAAAAGTAAGATCAGCATCTTCCTTTTATTTTAGGAGGCTAATTTGATACAAAGCAACTCCACAGATTTCTTTACCCAGTTCTATGTGCTCAGTTAGCTTGATAGTTGTGCACTTATGTGTACGCGCGTGGAATGGTGATTTTGACGGGAAAGACAGGTATTGCTTAAGAGGACTTTTGCTAAACCAGCAATAGAGGATTCTTGCCGTTGTTCTTGTTCGCTTTTTTTATTAAAACCACGTTAGAGTTGTTGTATATATGCTAACTAGTGGAGCCGCATACAGCGACTCTCACGTTACTGATGTGCGCCCTCTTAAATGCGAAGCCACGCTTTAGTGCAGAATGCATGCAATATAGGCGTTCAAACATCTGGCACAACTGGACAAAACGCTTACTCTGCCGCTCGACTCGTTGGGCATAGCCAGTGTATTGGCCCACACTATCCTAACGATGCGCAACTGTACTCGGAGCCAGTACTATTCGAAACACTTCCAAGCTCTAGCGTGGACACCTTGCTGTGGAAGGCATTGGGGCACATCGTATAGGATTCAGACGTCGCTGGCCGGTAGGAACGGTGCGGTCACTAAACACAACGACACCATCCTCAGCTCGGTGTGCGAAGGGCGCTCGTTTGCCGAAGTTGCCCCAGAGGTGGCCATGATGGAGGCCGGTGCAGCCGAGGCCGCTGTGGCCTAAACGTACGCGTTCCATTTCGTGAAGCAAGGATCAAAACTGAAGATAGCCAAGGGTGGCGTTGGCAAAAGCAGAAACTTTGTGAAATACAAGAAGAAAAGCAAAATAGAGGGAGAAAGAAAAGAGAGAGTGCACGGTGAACGAGTTGCGTTAGCGTTCTTCCTCGAACGCGGGCACGCTCTTCATCTAGCGAGGGTCCAAAGTGTGCATAGAAACGAACTCGCGAAGGGCGAGGATCGCGGGAGAGGAGGCTGCGCCGCTGGCCGGGCTCCAAACAGCTGTTTACCCGTGGCCCTGCGGGCGCTCGAACAGCTGAGGGAGTCGCGCGACCCGCGGCTTGCGTCACGCCGCCGGCAGTAAGTTGCGCGCGTCTCTTTACTTCCTATGATTCTTTCGTGCCTTCCCGCTCTAATGGCCGCCGGGGAGAAGGAGGCGGGGGTATAGCAGCGAGAGAAGAGCACCGCTGACGAAGAGAGGGGACAGTAGTGCATCGGCAGAGCACTGCGCGCCAAAGGGCAGCGGCGAGTGCTCACTCATCGTTCTCGGAGCCGCGGTCCGGGCGTTTGTGGCGTGACAGTAGATCCCCGCCGGGACGTTGTTGCTCGTCACCCTGGCCCCGTGTGAGAAGCGATCGGAGGGCTCGAGGACGCACCGTCAAGGTAGGCCCAAGTCCCCAACGCTCTCTTCCGGTCGCGGTCGCCCTCACGCACGTGGCTCGGACTGCCGCTCTCCACGCGCAACGCGTGTCAACGCGTGAGTGTCTTGTGCAACGGGTACATCTCCTGCGAATGTCCACAACGTGCGCGTAATTGTATCGCGGCCACTGAGCAGAATGTATAAGAAAAGTGTGGGAGGAACGTATTCGGGCTGGTCCGGACCTGTCTGTTTTTGTGCGTCGTCATGTGTGTCTGTTTTAGGCCCACGCTAGCTACTTCAGGCAGGTTGCAGTGATTGACTGAAACATTGCGCAATTGTTAGGCGATGCCATTGCACGAAAGCAATGGTCACCATGTTCTCGCAGGGTGTTAATTCTGCTCTGCAGCCGACTTGCTGAGCCTCCAACATTGTGAACGCGAAGCGTGGACTGCGCTGTCTGCTAGTTTGCACATAGTAGTATAACCCCATGGTATGGTTTACCCCTGACTTGCAGGTATGTGCCTTCTGCCGTACACTTGCGCATCGAGGGGGACGTGGGCCATGGATGCATAATAGTGATATCATCTCAGGGGATCGCCAAATCACCTTATATCTTTACTGATAGTTGCCCTGTGATTGTTCAGTGAGCGGAATCTTTGAGACAAATATTTCTTTTCTTTTTTTACTATGGCGGCCGATAATTTGTAGGATTGCATTCCAAAATTGTTTGGTTTTCTCCGTTTTCTATCGAAAAAGCGGGGACTTAAAGCAGGCCATTGTGGGCTGCTTGTCGTAGCTCTTTGTCATTTTTGCACACGTTTCGAAGCTTGCGTTCTTTCGAACTCGTCCAGGGAGGGCTACGGGGAATGCAGGGGCGCTGATGTGGAACACGGCGCCCTAAATTAATAACCCTAAGCACTCGGGACCCTTCAGTCATTCGCGTAATGAAATGTATCTGAGTTTGTGGATGTTGCCTCTTTGGAAAGAAAAAGAAACATTGCCTAATTTTATTTTCGCAGGCTGAAAACTTCTAAGCTCTTGAGAAGCGTATCGTGAAGCTCCCAGTTCTCCTCCGCTATGCAGTGCTTTCTTTACAGACGAGCAAAAGAGCCGAATTTGCTCGCTTGTCTAACGGCAGGTATTCAAAAGACGTTATTTGTGGAGCCATGAATCAAACCATCTCGGCGTGGGGTGTATTTCCTCACCCCTGTTTCTTTTAACATGTCGTTGATTTATAGTTTGGCGTCGTTATTTGGAAACCACGACCGTTCGGCGGTTCCTCGTGGAAGCGACGCTGTTCAAAGAAAGGACACCGGCAGCGTCAACGCGGCCATGTTTATCTCTTGGCGCCGGTTCTCGTTTGCTTACGAGCTTTTCAACAGTTTTCTACTGGCCATCCTTCACGACGAGACTTGCCGTGTGAAGCCTTAAGCAAATGGCGCGGCATTTTTGCGCGCAAATGGCTCTCGCTGGCTTTTCCAGTGGACCTGACAAAATTTGTACGAAAGCGTCGCAAGCGTACTTTCATATACTCTTGTCTCGCTTGCGAAACGATCCAGCGTGTCATATACGCAGCGATTGAGTTTCTGCTGCCTAAAATAAAAAAAAATGAAAATACCACAAATGAACACTACTAACACCAATAGGCGCGCGCACACGAGCAGGGGGGGGGGGCAGGGGGGCGCTAAGCCAGCCCCATACATTGGCATAGAAGGTAAGGGGGTAATAGGGAGGGGTGCAAAGCCACCCTCATACACTGACATAATAAGGAGGAGGGGCGCTACGACGAACCTTCCCCCTGCCCTCCTGAAGAAGAACCCTGTGCACTCTTATGCTAACAGCTCTCGCCGGGAAGTGCCCCGTCCTCGGACTCCCTTGACCATGTCCTCCATCTTTGCTATCTATTCTGTCTTTTTTCTGTCGCTCCTGTGCGGCAAGTGCTCTCTCTTTTTCATGTCTCTACAAAGACCGTCTGTTTCAACTATTCTTTTTATTCGCTTCCCCCCTCCCCAACAAAAAGTTTAGTCATGTCGTCATTATCGGCTGACAGTAATTACCTCGTTTTTCGTTTTCCTCAAGAAAACGAAAAAAAAAAGGTAATATGTTTAATGATACCTGTGCCCCAGTATCATGAAACATTCACTTTTCCAGTCTTCCTTACAAATAAGGTTTCTATTTGGATGCTTAGTAGTACTTACCTACTTTGATAATCGAAATGCATTTATAGGAATCAGTTTAGGCCATCTTAAGCTCTTCATTTTTCTTTGTAGGTCAAGTCATCAATCTATTAAATTTAGAAGGATGCTGCCGATTATACAACAGTGTCTATGGCCTGAGGGAGGGCCCAGAACAGTTACTTGCATGCTTATGAGATTATAAAATCTAGGACGCCATAAGATACATTTTCAAAAGGATGGTCGTACATACGCGCGCAAACTTTTTGGGAGTACTGAAGTCCACTACAAACTGAAACAAGCGTGCGAGCTCTTTACGTGCACTACACGACCTTCCTCTATAACGTGACCAGAAATACATCGAAGAAAAAAAGAAAGAAAAAAGGAAGGAAGGAAGGAAAGAAAGAAAGAAAGAAAAAAGAAAGAGAAAAGGAAGGAAAAAAAGAAAGAAGAAAGAAAGAAAGAAGAAAGAGAAAGAAGAAAGAAGGAAGGAAGGAAAGAAGAAAGAAGAAAGAAGAAAGAAAGAAAGAAAGAGAGAAAGAATGAAAGAGACAAAGAAAGAAAGAAATAGAGAAAGAAAGAAAGAAAGTCGCATTAATAATCGGATGGAACATGATTTAGCTGTAACCCGCCGTGGTGTGAAGTAGCGGTTATGGGGCTTGACTGCTGACCCGAAGGTCGCGGGTTCAATCCCGGTCGTGGCAGTCGCGTTTAGAAGGACCGGGCGAAATGCTGGACGTACGTGTGCAACGTGTTGCGCAGCGCGTTAAAGAACATCAGATGTTTGAAATTCCCGGAGCCCTCCACTATCTCCGTCCCTCATAATCATCAGGTGGTTTTGGCTCTTAAAATGCTATATTATTATTATTATTATTATTATTATTATTATTATTATTATCATTATCTATCTGCCTACGACATTTAGCTCTCGTGGCCGTTTCGATAGGTATAAATATCAAACATAGTAGGCCATAATATCACTATATGAAGATCTTTTTGACTAGTCATAACATGAAAATCATGACATGTATGTCATGAATGTCATGATTTACATTTCATGATCCTGCAGCTCTTGCGGTGGTTTCGTTGACAAGCATGTTGCAAAACTGGTATGGTATGGCATGATTGCATGGCGAACACAAGCGACAGACCCTAACATGCAAAACCATGACATGCGTGTCATGTAACAACATGACTACGTGCCATGCTCTTGATGCGCTCGCGGCCGTTTCGCTAGCGTCACATATACCAGATTTGGTATTACACTACGCGAATGGATGACGAAGGTATGTGACTGGTGCAAACATGATAATCATGATGTGCGTGCCATGTGAGAACATGACTACATGCCACAGTAAAGGCACTAATACATTTCGACGTGACGCGGTGTGCCTGCTCGCCGGCGTTCATTTCGTCGCGTCACGCCGGCGTTGCCACGCCAGGGGCCGGTTCTGCCATATACTCGCAGGTGCGCGCCGCGCTGTGTTGCTTTGACGCATGCGCGTTTTAGCGCGTCCCGCGTCCCTCCGTCACGAAAAGAGGAAGACACAGTGTTGTCTGGGTAATGCGCCGGCGCGAAATGCAGCATGTCGCATTTCGCACTGGTTGCCGTCGGGCCGCGCCGACGGACGCTTGTCGCACCTGGCGTCAGACTATAGAGTGCTCGCGTTTTGCTAACTTAGCCTCGTTGTTCCCAGCGTGTGCGCCCGCCAACGCTACATTGGTGTGTATTGGGCCCTTCATGATGCGCTCGCGGCCGTTTTGCTAGCTCCACATATACCGAATTTGGTGTAACGTACGTGATGTCAATGGATGATGAAATATATGACTGGTGCAAACTTGATCATCCTGACACGCGTATCACGTAAGAGAATCACAACGTACCACGCTCATAGCGTGCTCGCGGCCGTTTCACTAGCTCCACATATACTAAATTTGGTATCACGGGACGTGAATAGATGACGAAGGTAACTGACACATCCAAACATAATAATCATGACACGGAAGTCATGTACGGCAGCATTTACCTCCTCCTCGTAACGTTGTGCTTATTTAATGTAGCATATCAACATTTCTCATATGTGCTTCGTATATCATCGATTTCCACTGTACGTGGGATCTGGCATTTTTTTTGTGTGTGTGTGCTTGCGTATATAGCGTTTGGTAATGGCGGAACCCATCTTGGACGCTACTCCGAACCGCTTGGCGTTTAACCGTTTGTCGGCTTGCTTGCCCTCTCCCGTAAAAGGCGGTCACGCTGGCTGGTTTGCGCTCAAACCGCAAAGGCTGTTTATCTGCGAATATACACTATACAAGAACTTTTAATTCAAGGTTCATCACGAGAATACATATCATTACGTTTGATTGAAGAACATTGTCGAAATTAAGAACGTAATTTAATGAGACCTGTTAGTTTTTTCAACTAAACCGGAGACGCAATTGTGGGTCGCTAGTATCACGCCGTCAAAACTTTCTTCGTTCCTTCGTACTGCAGTGCAAACATTTTCAATCAGGAATAGTTGGCTGGCAGCACCCCTTCGTGCTTTAAGTACGTGTAGATTTCCAAGTGCGGCTTCTGACATTGAGGCCTACGGGACGGCTATAAGCTCTCCCATAGTAGAGCACCCTGTGCTCTAAATCGTTACAAATTTTTAAATGCGAAGCATTGCTCAGTGAACTTCAGCGGCCTTAAGCGTATCTATCTATCTATCTATCTATCTATCTATCTATCTATCTATCTATCTATCTATCTATCTATCTATCTATCTATCTATCTATCTATCTATCTATCTATCTATCTATCTATCTATCTATCTATCTATCTATCTATCTATCTATCTATCTATCTA